TTTAGGTCTTGAGATATGATAGAACCTAGAAATTTGAAGGTATCTACTGTGTTGTCTAGTATTGTAAGAGGTGGTAGTATGGGTAAAGTCTGCCACTATTTCTACAGTTTTTAGTGGGTTCAGCTCCAGATTGTTCTGGTCTCACCGCGAGGCTAGTTGTTCAATCTCCCATCCATATGCAGTTTCATCATTGTCTCAAATGAGACCAATCACTGTTATATCATCTGCAAACTTCAGTAGTTTAGCAGATGGATTGTTTGAGATGCAGTCTTTGGTATAGAGAGAGAAGTGGAAAGAGCCACACAGTCCTGGGTGGCTCATGTGCTAATTGTACAGGCATCTGATGTGATTTTGCCTAGCTTCACCTGCTGCTTCCTGTCTGTTAGGAAGCTTGTAATCCACTTACAAGTGTGTTCAGGTACCGCTAGCTGATTTAGTTTAGTTAGAAAAATGTCCCGTATGGTGGTATTGAATGCTGAACTAAAGTCTACAAGGTGCATCCTTGCGAAGGTCTTTGGAGATTCAAGATATTGTAGGATGTAATGCAGAGCCATACTAACAGCATCATCTGTCTATCTATTTGCTTGGTATGCAAACTGCAGGGGATCTAACAGCGGATCCATGATGGTTTTCAAGTGGGACATCACTAGCCTTTCAAAAGTTTTCAAATTACAACTGTTAGAACAACTGGTCTGTAGTCATTCAGTTCCTTGATGGAGGGCTTTTTCAGCACTGGGATGATAGTGAAGCGTTTGAAGCAAGAAGAAACATGGCACATCTCTAGTGATTTGTTGAAGATGTGGGTGAAGATGTGGGCCAACAGATCAGCACAGACTTTTAGGCAAGAAAGAGTTATCTTGTCTGGACCTGATGCTTTTCCTGGTCTGTCTGTGATCATCAGGTGCTGTGAACCCAATGGGATGAGGTCAGTTGTAGGAGGTTTAGCTGTTGTTGGTGTGTCTGGGGTGGGGGTTGTGGAGATAGGTGGCTGTAGTTTCAATTAGATGAAAGGCTCAAGTTTTTGAGATGAGAGGTACATTTTCACTTCTACCTGGCCTGTACTAAGCATTATTTAATGATCTTCATGTTGTGGATATACCATGTCAAGGGCTTGTGTACTCTGTCTCCTTCTTTGTCAGATCTTACATATTTTTTTTAATCTGATGGTAAAAAATGCATATTAATTTCTACTAGCCATAGCTATGTTATAAATAAAACTTTCCTCACAAATAAAACTAGCAGAAGTTGGACTAGTGAGATTCCTCTCTGATATATTAAAGAGACAAGATAAAAGGCACTTCACAAAACAAATCAGTTCTATCCTGTGGAACACCTTGGAAATAATTAGCATTGATAAAATTACCATTAGTCAATTGTAAAAGATAGTTGTCTACAAATAGTTTACATCCTGAGATGTAAATACCATCAAACAACATCCCAGATTCTTGAGAAGGGCTTCATAGAGGATAAAAATGCCAGATCGAATCTAAACTTCTGGCTGATTATGTGACCAATTGTAATCAGACAAAGTATAGCATTTATTAGAGGCTGCTTTCTGAACAATATTATTTGCTACCTAGTATACTTCCTTAATTTTTGTTTTAGATGCATTTCAATTATTGAGTTTCTTATACCACAAAAGGTGCCCTTATAGTTTTTAAAATGTGTAAATTAAAAGTTTAATTTTACATTTCCTTCTGTCTCTTTCATTCAGCCAACCCTTTTTTTAAAGACTGGTTTTGAGGATCAGAGTATCCTGTGGTTGTGATAACAGCAAACTTCTTGCCTTGGGGGCGAGATTAATGGCCCATTAAGATTAACCGAGCAGGGCATTTTTGCTGAACTCAAAAGAAGAATGCAAGAGAAAGAACAGAAATGGACTAAATCCTCCTGGATCTTCCTCCTCTGGGCTACAGGTCTTCATCAAACAAAGCACTGAGATCAAGGAAGTCTAAACCACCTTTGACCTGGTACCTCTTTGTATCTGGAATAGCTGTCCAGAGCATTGGTCTGCAAAGTCAACAAACTTCTGTCCACCCTGTCAGGGAATTTTGAAGCAATCAGTCCTTCTCAAAAATAAATTTTGGATCAAGATTGAAGAACTATGAGCAAGTGTAAATTTGGACATGGGATTAATATCATGTACATGCAGAGATTTCTAAATACTGTATAATATTTTGCACATGCACTGTTTCCCCTTGGCTGTACGCCACTCCCATTTCAATGAGGTTTTTGTACATACATTGAATATTTCTTATCCATGCTTCATTTCTTATTCCACTGTGTATTGTAGTGGTGCTTATGGATAATCACAAATATGCGACACATACATAAATTAGAAATGCTTCTTATGGTGTAAATAATTACAAATGACCAGATGGGAAATACTGTTTCATAAATTACTAAATGCTAAAATGTGAATGTTAGTATATTTTATTTGCATTTGAATGACCTTTTTAACATTTTAAAATAACTTAAAATGTGGGGGAAATTCAAGGAAGCATTATGAGTTCTTATCTTACAGCACATTTTATCCTCTGTTCTCCATGCTTTGTCACACAATGGGTGGTTACTTCTGTAATAGCCTTCCTATTTGCTTTTTCTTTCTTGTGTCAGCCACTCTTTTCACATTCCAACCACACCTAATCTCAGGCCTCTATGACCTATAGTTGCTGTGCTGAAGACTTTTATTTTCAGCTGTAGAAGGACAAGAGATAAGCACAAATGTGAGAGTCGAAAACTACTCAGAAAGAAAAGGCATCTTCATGGCTTGTTTTCTTAGATCATTCAAAAAAACCTGGTTGTACTGTCCTGAGAATTGGTCGACATGGAAAGAAGTCAAGAGGCTCCAGGGCAGTCAGGGTACAAACAGGAGACCAGAGGAATTACTGAGATGAAGCTGGTAGTAATAGGAGATGGAGGTTGCGGGAAAACATGTATGCTCACGGTCTTTGCAAAAGGAGAATTCCCTAAGGTAAGTTTATTTTAACCATAATATCAATCTCACACTTCCTATTGCCAGATCTTTCCTTTTTTCAAGATCTTTCCTACTCAAGACAAATTATTCAAATATAGTTTCTATAGATTAGATCCTATCAAGCCTCTGGTGCTATTTTTCTTACATTTGAAATTTACCCATGTTTTAAATTCTCATAGCAGATATACTAGAAAAATTCTTCTTCTTTTGTCATGGAAGAATAACTGAAGCATTGTGGAAGCAAATCTTTCTGGAGTTTTTCAGTAGATACAGACTCTAAACAAGTGTACTAATAATACTACTAAATTCTCTTTACTTAATTATAGAACTTTCTAATTTTCAGTGATATGCTAAGTACAGCAGAACAAGGTTTGGATAGGACATGGAATATTTGACTGAAAACATCCTGAAATAAAATTATTTTGACAAGTACAAACAGATTTGGTTATTGTAGAAAGAAAAGAGAAAGAAAATCAATCAAGTTGCCTTTATTTTATTTAAGAATGGGCTTAGAACCCTTGGGCAAATAGAATAACTTGTAATATTTAAAGTTAGACTTTGTGTTGGTTACATCAAAGAAATAAGAATCTTGTGACACTTTAACATTAAGTTCACTTGTTACAATATAAAGTTTTATGGAGTAAAATCTATTTCATTAGGCTCATTGACATATACGTCACATGTATATGTGATGAGAAAATGGTAAGCACTTAGTCCATATGTTCTTACAAATATTATCTGACTCTGAGACACAATGGCTTCCAGTTGTCAGAAGGAGGTTGAAGTGGCTCTCTCTGGCACCTAGTTTTACCCACCCCAAAGAAAACAGGCGCAGGGTAGGAGGATGTCCAGCAACACTATACTTAAAAACATGTCCAGCTTTACTGATGGCTCTTTTTTTTGCACATCCGGGTACCTACTTTTCACCTGTTAAAAACTGACCAAAGCCAATGCTTTCTAGGTTTGGCAATTAGCAGCCAATTTCTTCTTGTTTCACATATCATTACTTCTCAAAGGGCAAAACTATAGAGCAAAGTGAAGCCTTGCAGAAGCACTTTAAGTAAGGAGTACTGTTTGCTGTCAGTTTATATTCTAGTGGCTTCCCTGTTAGTGTTGAGGAGGAGGATCTTAGAAATTCTTTGAGTGAACTATATGCTTTTGGCTTCTTTGACAGTTTCTAGATTTGGTTATTGTTTATTTGATTGTTGGTCTGATGTTAATGCTGATTGCTGGTAGAAAGATGCTTGGGTCTTTTTGTTCCTTTTTGAGCGAGGTGATGGTCTCTTTTGCATAGTCTATATATGTTCTTAACAATGTGCCTGCTGATGGCTGATATGCCAGAGTGCCAGGCTTCTAGAAATTCCCTGGTGTTTTTAGATTTGGCTTGGTCTAGGATGGTCATGTTTTCTCAATTGAAACTATGGTTGAATCTGTCTATGTGTTGTGAAATTAAAGAATTATCATCATGCCTTCTGACTGCTAGTTGGTGTCCGTGGATGCGTTCTGCCAGTCTTCTGCCTATTTATCCTACATAGTGGTTGTTGCAGTCCTTTACATTGTACATTGTAGATGTCTCATGTTTTTTTTTCTTTTGGGGTTATTGAGTCTTTTGGTCTGCTTAGGATGTTTTAAAAGGCTTTAGTTGGCTTGTGTGCTATGTTGATTCCATGTAGTTGTAGTATGTTGGTGGTTTCTGAGATATTCTTGATATATAGCAGTGCAATTCTTTTTAGGGTTTGTCTTGGTTGTGTTGTGTTGAGTGGTCAGGGACTTTTTGATAAAGTTGTGTGGATATCCATTTTTGTTGGAATACATTGTATAGATGCTCTATTTCTTTTTCAGCTGTTCCGAGTTGTTGCTGGTCTTGTCTAAATAAAATCCTTATGCATCTTGTGGGAGGTTGGGTTGTTGCTTTGGTACTGGAGCAATTGATTAGTAGGGATGGTTTTTCTGTATATTTGCATTTCTAGTTTTCTAGTTTCCATTGTGGTCTCTGCTGATCTAGATGTCCAGGAAGGGTGTAGTTGTTGGTTTTCTTCTCTAGTAAACTGGATTCCTTTAAAAATATTATTGATGGTTCTGTGGATGTCTCTAATTGATCCTTTTTTATTATGGTGAAGGTCTCCTCTAGGGGGAGTGATGCACTCGTGGGGTGGGGGGTGGGGGGTGCAGTGCCTTATTTCAAAACCTGCCAGCAAAGTGGAATAACTTGGAAGTCAGATTTGACCCACAGGACTGAATTCAATATCCTTGGCATATATGCACATTATCATTCAATTAGCTATTAGCAATACAATTTTTGAAAATTATAAACTATCAATATTAAATTATATAGCTGCATCAACGGAATAGTTTATTACAGAGGTGGTGGATGACAGTTTCATATTAGAGTCTCCTTAAAAATTATTTGTTTAAAAATAACCAGCAAAAAATTAGGTCTCCAATAGAAGAGAACATATGTTGGTCAGGGTGGAATGGTGAAGTCCTTGATGCAATCTGAGCTTGGTTGTTTGCTTGTACTGATGATGTTATCTAATTGGGTAATGAAACATCTGCAAGCAAACAATCAAGTTCAGAGAACACCAAGGACTCCACAACTCAGCATCTGCATGTATAAGCTAAAAGGTTCCTATCTTGGTTACTTTTATCTATATATTGCATTGACAACTGAATCATTTTTATTGCAAAAATATGTCAATGGGGATTGGTGAAATGTGGCAGAGATAGGAAAGAAGGAAAAGCAAAGAAATGACTTCCCTATACTTCATGAAATGAAATAATATCTGAAAATATCTGCCTCTATATCTCTGAAGATTTTGCTTTACCAAATGTAACCTAGAGTCAGATGAAGGGTAGCTCCAGATTTTTCATATTAATTAAGCAGAACTGGATAATATGCTTTCTCCTCAAGGATTGAGCTTGTCTAGTGGCAGGGAAGCCATGGCTGAGAAAATAGCTGGGATATGGACCACTTAAAGGTGCCCCCGAAGGCACCCTCTCAGAGTGAGATATTAATCAGGTTGGGCCAACTGAGAATGGGCCTTTTCATTGTTGCCTGTACTCAAAGTTCCTTGCTATGCATTTATTACCTTTTTAATATAGGAAAATACACCTTTATTTCTCCAGACTTTCTAATGCTAATTTTCTCGTCATACTCCAATGGAGCTTTTTAATTTATCTGATTTTGTTAGCTACTGGCTGTTTAAATTAGTCAACATATTGTTTTAGTAGATGTATATTTGTTAGCTGTTTGGGGGATTTGTTTTCTGATGCTGTTAATTAATTCTAGTATTTTTTTGAGAGAGTGGTTAGATATCATTCTTCAAAATGTTTTGAAGACTTTGTAGGAAAAGATTTGCTTGGAAAAGCAGCCTACATATTCTTAAACAAATAACCTGAAAGGAAATAGATGCTGTGAAAGGACAAGCTCTGCAGGGATGGTATCAGATCAACCAATCCAGTAGTGGGTTTCGGCTCCCATTGCAACCGGTACGCTGCAATGGGAGCCTGGCGTACACCACGGATACACGCGCTGCGCAAGCATGCACATCCACTGCCTGCGGTGCTCCAGCTACTTGGCGGAGCGTCACACAAGTGTCATACACTGCACATGCATGGGCAGATGGCCCGTTTCCTTCAAATACAGGTAAGGAATGAGGGCAGGCGGGCAGGCCCTCCAAAGCTCCGTTCCGGTATGGTGGCTGCTGCTTCTGACAGGCACCGGTACACGCATACCAGGGCGTACTGCCTGCAACCCACCAGTGAACCAATCCTTCAAGAGATGTTCAGTTAAGCAAAAATGTAACTTTCTTCATCATCTTCTAGGTTTATGTGCCAACAGTTTTTGAGAAATACTTCGCTCCATTTCGCATCAATGACAAACAAGTCCATATCAGTCTTTGGGACACAGCAGGTAAGGCCTAGGCAGCATTATTCTACAGACAGATACATTCACAAAATAAAATTCTTTCCAGTGAGATTGCGTTAGTCGAGGAATGAAGAAGTTTTTGCCTGCATAGAGGCCATCTTCCAGAAGGAAGTTCAGTGCAGCTGCAGTTTACCAACAATTTTTGGCTATTGATTGAACACCAGCTAGTCAGACAAAATTATTTGCTTGGAAAAAAGCAATCTAAAACATAGTAAGGTGGGGGTGATGAGATGAATTTAATTTAAAGAATTGTTGGAAGAAATATCCCACAGAGTTATCTTTCAGTACTGAATTAGCTTATTTTAAACATAGATCTATATTCAAAATATAGTTGCTCTCTTTAGGAAGTATGTAAAACACATCACAATCTTTGATCCACATATGGACCAAAGATTGGATCCACAATAGGAAGCTCATAAGCAAAAAGCTTTCTGCTCTTTTGGGGAAGGGAGTATCCCCTGATCTCTTTATGTCTCACAATGTTTTGCCAAGAGGGAAAAGTATAAAACTTGTGATGATGTACCATACAATGAACACTTTGCTTTATCAAAGCTGGAATCCCTCAGATGTACTAGGTTTCACTTCCTACATGCTGACTAGGGATGATGAGAAAGAGCCTAACACATCTTTTGAGACAGACTGCCCTGACGTTCCTCTGCATGGGTGAAACTGTTGTGGCCCACCAGCAGCCAGCGGAGCTGGCAGCAGATTCAGGCAGTGAGGAGGTTGGGGAGGAACATGGGCCAGTCCTGGAATCTGGGGAAGGCTCTGATGAGGGCTCTGTGTTGGAGGCAGAGAGGGGGCCAGAGCCTTATGCCAGTTATCAGCTGCCTTTAGAGTCAGACATCAGTGAGGCAGACGAACAGCTGGAGCCTGTTCTCAGTGTATGCATGTGCAGAGTCGCCAGACGAAGGGAACAGCTAAAGAACAGGGGTCGACTTGGGAGTAAGGCCAGAGGGGGACGATGAATGACCCCTCCCAGAGGAAATAAAAGAGGAGAGAGAGGGGAGGGGAACTTGCAGGGGACAATTAGTTTGCTTAATTGGTTCGTGATTCTCCGAGACTCCTTGCCAAGTTTTGCAGTTATCGGCTTGTCAGCTGTCCAAGCCAGATAGACTGTAAATCATCCCTTGAAAGACTTTGCTAGATGTGAATGAACAGAATTCACAGTAAATTAATAAAAGGGTTTTTGTCAGAACATGGATTAGGATTAGGATTTATTTCATTTATATGCCACCCTTTTCCCTGAAGGGGACTCAGGGCAGCTCACAACTCAGTCAAGGGAAAGGAAGTACAAACAGGGGATAAAGACAAACAAACAATACACAATTTAAAAACACACAACAACCATACCATTCAAGAAGGGGGGGGCAGAAACTCTTTAGCCCCAGGCCTGCCGGAATAGCCAGGTTTTGAGGGCTTTGCGGAAGGCCTGGAGGGTGGTGAGGGTTCGAATCCCCACAGGGAGTTCGTTCCAGAGGGTCGGAGAGGCCACAGAGAAGGCTCTCCTCCGGGTAGTCGCCAGTCAGCATTGGCCGGCGGATGGAATTCGGAGGAGGCCTAATTTGTGGGATCTATAGCAGTTAGACTTATATACCGCTTCATAGGGCTTTCAGACCTCTCTAAGCGGTTTACAGAGTCAGCATATCGCCCCCACAATCTGGGTCCTCATTTCACCCACCTCGGAAGGATGGAAGGCTGAGTCAACCTTGAGCTGGTGAGATTTGAACCGCTAAACTGCAGATAACAGTCAGCTGAAGTGGCCTGCAGTACTGCACCCTAACCACTACACCACCTCGGTCTATTGGAGGTAATTGGCAGCAGGCGGTCTCTCTCAACATGGACTTTGCTTTATGCTCTTGGGAAGCCTAGGTGAGAACAGAACCAAACATTTTGGCTCTTACAAATAAGGTAGGTCAGTTAAGATATCCTGTAATCTTCCCTTCCACAGTCACTTCATAACAAGCAAGTTACATGTATTACATTTTGCAACTTGTTGCCCCCAGTTTTATACATGTTACAGTCTTGGTTGCCCCCACTTCCCCTGCTGCCCTGTCTATTGACAGCACTGAGATCTCACTGCAGAAGTTGTATTTCAGAAGCAGACAAGTATACTCCTGTAACAAAAAGCCCCTTTCAATGCTTCCTTTCATTAAAATATATAAAAATGAACAAAGGTGGAGAAGAATGTCAAAAACTCCCTAATGGAGAATCTCAGACAATCTCCCAAGAATTCAAAGTGGTCATTTCTAGAACTTTGAAATTTCCCTAGAATATCAGTGCAAAGACACTAGATGCTATTTTCTAGAGGTGAAAGAAATACTTTCAACAAAGCTGAAAGAACAGTATTTCTTTCATCTCTAGAAAAAATATCTACCACTTCCACACCTTAAATTCTGGAGATTATGTTGCAGAGAAAGAAAGAAAAAGACTGCACAGTACATGTTAACAGTTGCAACTGTGTTTCTCCTAGATTAGAGAAGAAATAAGAGAAAGAGTGGCTTTTCTGCCAGTTTTGAATTTCTAAAAAAGAAATCCAAATAAACGCCTTGTAAAGGTAGACTGTCACCTAGGGTTTTCTCCTAGCAGTCAACTCAAGCATGGACACATACTCACATGATCATGTATGATTTGATAGCTTATTAGTAACCTTGACTTACTGTGTTATATCTTTTGATTCTTGATGAATATATTTTTATTCTCCTTAAGTACACTGAGGGCATATGTACCAAAAACAAATTCCTTGTGTGTCCAATCACACTTGGCCAATAAAGAATTCTATTCTATTCTATTTCTAGTCTAGTCTAGTCTAGTCATTTGATGATAACAGGAGGTCAGTTCATCTCCTGATTGTTTCCTCTCTTTCTCCCAATGCTCCTATGCACAAATGAAGCACATTGGGAATGCTAAGAATGAGTATATATGTTCTTTACAGGTCCCTGAAAATGACACTGTCACTATATAAAATCACAATATTTTACACATTTAACCAGAAACAAACTCCACTGAATGGACTGAGAAGACAATGCATAATAGACTGTACTATTTAATTTATTATTTTTTACCCTGCCTTTATTATTTTTATAAATGATGGCAAGGGTACCTAATACTCTTTCCTCCTCATGTTTTCCCCAAAGTGACAACCTTGTGAGGTGGGTTTGGCTGAGGGAGAGCGACTGGCCCAAAGTCATCCAGCTTGGCTTTCATGTACTTTAAATTACTTAGGGGTTATATATAAGATAGACCACCTTATATACAGTATTAATATGGCTATTGGTGGCTCTTATGGGAAGTGAAATGTGCTAAGAGACTGGGAGGAAGCTCTTGAATAAACACTTGTGCATACAGTATATTGTAAATGATGCTTATATATATTGGTCAATACAAATATATGTTACATTATTCCATACAGGACAGGAAGATTATGACAGACTCCGCCCTCTCTCCTATAACGGGGCGCATGCAATTATCATATGCTATGATGTCACCAATCCCATCAGCTTCAACAACATCCTCACAAAGGTAACAAGGCCAACAGTACCTCAACATAATATGTGAACTCAATGAAAATCACTTGCCTTGGCATCTATTGAAAAGTTGTGATATCTTACACTAAATAAAAGTCAAATTGTTATACCAGAAAAAGTTGCAGTTCTTTCAAGGATACCCATGCAGCTTTTGAGTTTGCTTCCTTTTCTTCCATTTCACGCCATTTTGACCTGCATAATCGTTTTATTTTAATCCATCATCTGGTTTTATTACATGCCTAAAGTATTAAGTCTTTGCTTGCTGAATGCTGGAACAGACCAGCTTTATTTGGTCCAGAATTCAGACTGATTAGTTATTCTTACAATCCATGGTACTCTTGGCAACCATCTCCAAATCCAGAATCTGAAAATGTCTGTTTCCTTTCTCTTGTTCTTTCTCTGTGTCCAGCTTTCACAGCTGTATGTTCCCACTGAAAGGCCATTGATGAAAACAAATTCCTTGAGTGAAAACTCATTCATTCTAGATATGCATCTTTTATTGAAAGCTTTTTACTAGTTTTTAGAGATGTAGTAAAAAAAATAAAGCTGGTTCTATATACCTGAAAACTGTCTACCTTTGATATATTTTTAACCCCATCTATCTCTCATTTTAGTGGTATCCTGAAGCAAAACATTTCTGCAAAGGAATTCCAATTTTGCTTGTTGGTTGCAAAACTGACCTAAGGAAGGACAAAGTTCTAGTAAGGAAGTTACATCAAAACCAACTGGAACCCATCACATACCAGAAGGTAGTACAATCAGACACTCGCTGTTCTGTGTGTGTGTGTGTTATCATGTTGCACTATCCAATTGCAAGCTTTACCTCCAAAAAACATAATACACGAGATGACTTTCTGCTTACATTCAGTCTCATCAAAGCTAACAAAAGATGTTGATAATAGCAGGGCTAAACAATACTTCACAAATAATAAAGAATAATAAAGAAATAATAAAGAACATACATTTGGAATGTATGAAAGTACAAAAGAACATGTCTACAACTCCTTAAGGCTGCTGCTTCTTTTCCCTTGACTGCATGTTATGCTATCTGCAGCTGCCATCTGATCCCCAGAAACGATGCAGCTACTTCAAAGAATTGTAGATTTATGGCCCTCCGTGCTTTGAAGCACATTTTCGGAATCAAATCTAAAGCACTTTCCTAATATTCTGCCAAATCCATCACGTTGGGCTTGATATCTGGAAATTATATAGACAAATGGTTACCATTTCATCCTCATCTTGAAATACCATCTGTGCTTTGTTGTAGCTCAGTATTGTAAATGTGTTGCTCTTTACTGGTTCTACCCATTCCTTAAATCATGAACGGGCAGCAGTTGTTGAATTCCAACTCTCATTACCTGTGAGCATAATGGCCAGTGGTACAAGATGATATGGTTGCAATCCAAGGCCTAGAAAGCCACAAATGCTCTATCCTGCCCTAATTTTAAGAAGATATGTCAATGTTGTTCTCCCCCCCCCGCCCCTTCTCATCTTCTTTTTGTTGTAGGGAGAGGCCTTGGCGCGGAATCTCCATGCAGTTGCATATTTTGAGTGTTCAGCCCTCTATCATGAAAATATTACTGACATATTCACAGAGGCTTCAAGAGCAGCTTTGAGTAGGATGAAGAAAGAACAGCAGAGGCAAAGGCTCAAAAGGACATGTCTCCTTACCTAAAGATCCTTTGAGTGACTCAATTTTTTTTGCAAAAGTTCCTACCTACCCAGAGAGACAAAATCTCTTTGAATAAATTGTGCAAAATAAAAATAAAAATAAAGATGTTGGGAGACTTCCCTAACAGAGATGGACCAATATGCAAATAGATAGATCAAGATTGCATATATAGAATATCAAGCTTCCTGGATCTAGTGGTTCAATATTCCAGCTGCTGCACAGCAGTTCGCCTTCAATAGTAAAGAAGATCAGAAGATCATTCTGATATTTAAATCAAAATGGAATACTGTCAATGATAATGTAGAAAACTCATCATATATTCAAATATTGATTACTGTAGGCCTACACCATGTAATATTGACAATGCTTATTGTTACATATCAGAGTTCAATAGTACTTTATTATTTTGCTAAGACTGAAATGTATTTATTAAATACCTGGCAATTCACTGTAGTGATTAGTTTCAGAAAATAAACATTTTTTTCAGTGTTAGACATGTTCAAGTTGTTTGCCCATAATGTCTTACTTGCTGCTGTTACTTGTCATCCACATTACACTTATTCAAAAAGTGTTTCCTAAGAAGCTGCAATAATAGATATGAATTGCTCAAAGTAGTTCTAATGCATGTCTGAAATATTATTTAGGGTGGCTTCTAAAAGTATTATTACAATTATTCCAATGTTCCCTTCAATAGCACACAAAGATAAAATTCTAAAACCATCTACTTTGGATGTTATGAATAGAAAAGTTAGAAGAAACTCTTAAAGGAATCCATCAAAGTAAAGAACAATGGTATTATCCTGTAAAGAACAATGGTATTATTATTACTTTTGTAATATGTGTTTTTTATGTTATACGCCGCCCTGAGTCCTTTGGGAGAAGGGCAGCATATAAGTCCATAAAAGTCCAATAAACCTAAACCTAAACCTATCCTGCAGCTAGAAATTATGTTGAAGGCATTTATATTGGATCTTCATTTCCACATATTGAATATATATAGTTAAGATGTTCTAATGCATTTACAGAAGTGGTATATTAATTATCCTGTGCAATATATCATATATATATGATATA